ATTATACATTTTGCTCACAATTGTGCATACCTGAACATAAACCTATTTCACATTTTTTTTTTCTTAAAAACAAAAAAACTGACCCTGACTTTTAAACAGTTGTGTATCATGTACTTTCCCTCGTGTTTTTCCAAACCTGTGGAACACAAAACACAAAATTACAGATTTTGTAACACAAAATTACGTAATTTTAATTTTGTAACACAAAATTACAGATTTTTAGTATTTTAACACTGTTTTACACTGTCCAAAGAAAACATTGGACCCAATCATTGTATTGAGAGAGAAAACATGTTACTTTACACATAAGAAAACAAGTCATAGGTTTGTTGTAATTGCGATTTCTGTTGCCACTCAGCCTATCTCTCTCTCTCTCTCTCTCTCTCTCTCTCTCTCTCTCTCTCTCTCTCTCTCTCTCTCTCTCTCTCTCTCTCTCTCTCTCTCTCTCTCTCTCTCTCTCTCTCTCTCTCTCTCTCTCTCTCTCTCTCTCTCACTCTCTCAGCACCCATACATCAAGTTTTATTTCCATAGCAGTTTTCACAAATCATATTTTTTGTAAGCTGCTTTACAGAAAATAGTGCCTTTATCTTCAGTGAGCAAACCAAAAGTGTCTGTATGGAAAATAAATCATGTAAAAACCACATGACATGTAAATATTCTACATACCAAAATGTCAGTTTCTTTCTTCCACTCTATGTTTGTGTGTGTGAGGAGGGTTTAAGACAGATGGCAGAATGGGATGTGTTGAGGTTTGTTAAATTGTTCATGTCAACACTGAATTATTCTGGTCTGGAGTTGCTAACACTAACAAAGGTAAATTGCTAAACAATCACTATCAATCTGTCCTGAAGCTCCTTTCTGAAAATAATGAGGTATTAAAGAATGTCTAGAATAACATTTTTTTTTAATTGTCTTGTTGAGGGAGCATAGAAACCGTATTGTGTCTTTTGACATGATTTGAGACATTGTTATAACCAGACAGCAGAATATTGGAATCTAGAAAACCTTTAGTGTGAACAGTTCACTGTTGAACTAAGAGGTAACATTTAGTTTAAGAGACTTTTCTGCTTTCAGCTTAAGGGTTGATGCTGCTTGACTGAAATGATGTTAAAGTGATACAATTTATTATCAAGACAATGAAAGCTTACAGTTTTTCTTCTAAGAAATGTTAGAATTATGTTCTTATTTATGCAAATGTGAAACCTTGACTTACTGACAGAACAGCCTGCTCATTACTAATGATCAATCCACTGTTTAAAGTGCATTATAAATTCCAGGCTTTTTAAAGCAAATAAATAAATCAGTTTCACAGTGTTATTTTTTTTTTAATTAGTTTTAGCCAATTTACAGCTAGAGCTCAGATCTGAGACCTGAAATACGGATTTATGTTATCAATGTTATTTAAATAATACATGATCTAATTTCCACCAACAGAAAAGGATGTTTGTTTGGACATACTCAATGTACATTATGAGATATTATTTTCTATTTTCATATATTTTATACTGTAATTTATTCCTGTGATGGTGAAGCTGAATTTTCAGCAGCCATTACTCCAGGAATATTTCTTATCAATATTAAAAACAGCTGCATCAAAGTTGCAAAAAGTTTTTTTTTATGAATTGTGATAACTTTTTTTTCCAGATTAAAAAAACGAACGAAAAGCGAGCAGAGTCGAGCCGAGCCGAGTTGAGTCGAGCTGGTACTGGTAATGGAAAAGCGCCATAAGAGCTCTATCTGCAAGCCCCATGGGTAAAGTCGGCGGGCAGTCTCGGAAGCAGCGGGACCCGAAAAAGTCCCCTGATCTACAAACAGGGTGAGGCGGGAGCAGGGCTTTCTCATATTAAAATGCTCGCAGTGCTTACAATCAGCTCCATTGAGTTCTGATCTAGCATGCCCCACTTCTAAACAAAGAACACACAGCTCATGTCCTTCGTCCCCAGTAATGGAATGGGGCACGGCGAAATACATCTCCTAAACTTTGACATTGTCTTCACAAGTTGTCAACTCCTGGGCTAAAGACAGACTGACAGACAGTTTTGCACACAGTGATTGACAAGCGGCTTCTGAAGAAAATAAGCTGGTGACACTCTCGCGCTAACACAGTCTCATCCCAAAAAGTCATATAACTGACGTCTTGGGACGTCTTTTGACCATACGTCAATATCCGCCTTTTTAGGGCCCCCTTAAACGTCGGTAGATGGCGATCCCGGGCCGTCATACAACTGACGCTTTACCTTTAATGTCAGTTAGGTGACGGGTTAGGTTTACGGTTAGTTTTAGGTCTGGGGTAGAGTTAGGATCCCATAACCTCATCTACCAACGTTTAAGGGGGCCCTAAAAAGGCGAATATTGACGTATGGTCAAAAGACGTCCCAAAACATCAGTTATATGACGTCTTGGGATGAGACCGGGTTGCTCGCGCAGGTGTTTTTTTATAGAATTAATCACACTGCGTCACCTGAGTTTGTCCTAGACTAACGTTTTGCCATGTACTACACCTGACCCAGACACTGGCACATTCCCAGTTCCAACACCATGATGCGGCTTACGAGCTGGAACACTAACCAGGTGGCCCTCCTGAACCTGTTTAGCGTATATTGGGAGGAGCAAAAGGGGAACACAAAGAGAATATATAGAGACAAGCACCACATCTTACCCCAGCAACAAAAAAAGCAGACGTCCCAATGGACATAATAATGTAAGTCATCAAATTACTGTAATTAAACTGTTTGAAACTGAGATCACAAACACAGCTTTACTCTGATGACCCCTTTCAGACCTGTGAAATATACAAGGGCTCAGAGAGTGTGTGTGGTTAATTAATTGTGTGTATAGTTCACATTTAGAAGTGTGTTAGACACAGAGGTGTAGAGGTTTATGTGTTGTGGACTCTGATGAGTGTTGACAGATGAGTTGACACACTACACCACCATCCTTACACTGTCTCCAGGGGTAAAACTGTCTACTGTCATTTTCACTTGCTATTTGCTCTTATGTTTAAATCAGAGGGTGTAATGTTTTCCTAATTTTGTTTTTTTGGAACTAAAGGTCCACATTAATTTATTATGTTAAATAGTAGGGGTGCACGATATATCGGCCACCATATCGGTATCGGACGATATTTGCTCATTTTTATGATAATAAAATTTGGCTGATATATTAAAGCTGATAAATAATGAATTATTTCCTTCAACACTTGACACCTGAGACACTTAAGGTGCAGACTGTTTAACATGATTGATCTTAATTGTTTGAAATATGATTGGAATATAAAATATAGTTAAGTGCAAAATGTGCTGTCATATCGGCTACATGAAATTATAATGAGAACATTATAATTGTGTTAGGGAACGGATTTTAATTGTGAGACTTTTGTTTTTGCAATCAGGCTTTCAAAAATTACATAAAAATTGGAAAAATTAGATTTATCGGCCGATATATCGGTTATCGGCTTTCAAAGATAAAGAATTATCGGTATTGGCCAAAATGTTCATATCGGTGCATCCCTATTAAATAGCACAACTGTACATCAATAATATTTATTTTAATGGTTTTGCAATATAAGGTCACAGAAATTCAGTTGATCAGTCAGAGCATTCAGCGGTCTGACCAGCAGTGCTTATATATGAAACAATTGGCCAAGCAACATTAAAATGGCAGTTTAAGTTAAAATTATTGCTCACTATTTTTTTGTGTGCGTTTTTTACCAAAACACTGAAACCGAAATTTAAGTTTATGTAATTAAATTTGGGTAATAAAACTTGTTATGCTGTTCATGGTGTCATGATAAATGAAACCAGTCATAGTAAAGTTCTTCAGCAACTATGCCTAGCATAATTTGTGGTCACGTGAAGTGTGTTCACATGTTGACGTTTACCTGTTGTTAAATAGGTAAACGTCACATTGTGCGACACAATCACTGACACAGTCAAAATGCATCATCGGAGAAGGACTAATTAGTTGCTGTGAAATGCTTAAAATGAACAGATTATACATTTGGTGAGAAGAGTAGCAGTTCAACCTGACTAGCTGAAATGCTGTCTTGATAGTATTATATTAAAAATGTTGTGTGTAATGTTCATCTCTTTGCTTTCCCTTTGGTTTTACAAATATGACCTAATATGTTGTGTTACTTAAAATAGCATTCATTTTTGTATTATGTTATATTTTCATGCTATAAGTGGTGTTAAAAAATATTCTGCATATTAATGGGCCAATGTGTTATGTTTTGGGATGTGGTTGGCTGTTGTGGGCCAGAAAGTGCAGGGCCACTTTTTGGTCCCAGTCCGCCCCTGGTAATGATTACAATTTAAGGGAAAAAATTGACAGGTTTGTGTGTCAATCCAAAGATGGCATCAGTCACTCTTCTCTCTCCATCTTTTACTGTCATTTTTATGCTTCGACTGTATGTCTCTCTCTCTCTGACACAGCTGTTAACCCAGCATGGTCCCCCCCTGTTAGCCTTTAGCCCAGTTGTGTCTGTCTAGCAGCACTCCTGCTGTGAAAGGGTCTAATGCAGACCAAACAAACATGTCAACAGTACATTGACTCTGTCACACATATCGGTCTGTATGATAGGAGATGCCACTCACATAAGATATCAGCAGTAAAAATAGAGCTCTGTTTTGGTCTGAATCACATGTGGGAGATTGCTGAGCTTTATAAGCTTTAAACAATGGCTGACACTCAGATTCAGGTATCCTCAGCGGCTCAACACGACAGACCGGCCCATAAAACCCACTTTGACCCAACAGATGGATTTGATTTTATTGCTGTTCTGAGACCTTCCGGCCTCATCTAATGCTGTTACAGGAAGAGCACGCTCAACTGATCTTCAGGGCCGGCCCGAGGCATAAGCGAACTAAGCGGCTGCTTGGGGCCCCCTGGCCACCAGGGGGCCCCCCAGTCGAGTTAATTTTTTTTTTTTTTTTTTTTTTTTTTTTATAAGATGACTTAAGTGACATAAATGAATGAATGAATAATTCTAGACAAGAAAATTCAGATTTCATGATCAGTACCTGCCTACAACGCCTGCTGTGTCTGCCAGCATTTGAATCATGCGCATAAACTCACCTCACGACTCGCGCGCATTGACGATCTCGCGCAATTGCACGCAGCGCGCGCATATACGTCGTGATTATCACGGTAATGTCGGTAATGTTAAGCCATCATGTCACAAAAAAGGATTTATCCCTCTGGTGCCGAAAAGAGAAAGAAGAAAAGGACAGAGGAGGAGAAAAAAGAGCAAGAAAAAGGTATGTTTGCATGATTTTTTTTTACAGTCTGTTTAATTGTGCAGTTACAAATTGAATTCTCACTTGAGGTAAGTTAGCAGCTAACGTTAGTCATGATCGTTTGAATCCCTAGCTAAATATAGCTAAATTCCCGCCATCAACAGTAAAATGTCTCCCATCTAGGTGTACTTTTTCACGTATTGATAGATATCGGTTAAATTTGGAGAAAACAGACGAAGGGGAACTTAAAGGAGTAACGTTAGTTCACTTATAAAAAAGAATAGAATCCAAGATACAGTATCCATGTCTTACTTTCTTCAGAAAAGAAATTAAGGTTTGATGAACACATTCCAGCATTTTTTTTCCATATAATGCACTTTACTGTCAACCAAACGGTTCAAGGTCCAAAGACAGTTTCAGTGCAAACTGTTCAAAACGACACAAGACGATGAATAAGGGTCTTATCAAGCGAAACGGTCGCTCATTTAATAAATAAATAACAAAGTTTAAGTCTTTATAAACTGTCTTGGACCTTGAACCGTTTAGTGTCCAAGAAAAAAGTGCATATATGAAGAAAAATCCTGTAATGTATTCATCTTAATTTCTTTTCGACTGAAGAAAGAATGATAAGGATATCTTGGATGACATGGGGGTGAGTAAATTATCAGCACTTTTTTTTTTTTTTTTTTAAGTGAACTAGCTACTTATTTAACCTTCTAGGTGTTCTGGATGCCAGCTAGCATTGCTGTATGTGTTAAAGTGAACGATCCTGTGTCGAGAATGTTGGCGAGTGATGCAATTATGCCTCATTTGCCTAAAGAATATGAATTGTTAGGTGTGGAATTGCTTGTTGATGAGTGTTAGTAGTGATGCAAAACTATTTCTGCTCGAACAACTATGCACTTTTTATGCAAAGTTTTTTTTTTTTCTTTTTCTTTCAGGAACACTGTTGAAGTACTTTGGAGCTAGAGCACAACCAACTCCACCTACCCCTGATGTTTCAACAATTGTCAGTGCCTCCACAGCTGATGATACAGCTGCTGGTGAGGTTTTTCTTGATGGAAAATGGTTACATAGCCTGTTAATATGACATGACACATTTAACATAGTTTTTTATTTATTTATTTGTTTGTTTATTTATTTGATCATTGCAGGTTCATCCACTGCAGAGTTACTGGCACCTGAAAGCGAGGAACAGTTAACATCACTTGAATGCGAGGAACAGTTACCAGCACTTACATTGACTGATACATCGGTTTCAACCTCAGCCGGCATGACGGGTCAGTTAATCTAACAGTTTTTGTTTTGTTTTGGCTTTACTGTAAAATATCCTGTGTTATGTTATAATTCTATTTTTTTTTTTAAATCTAATGTCCCTACAGGTCCTTCTACATCTGCCCCCACTGCTATAGATTTCGCATCGACTCCCTCAACAAGCTCCAGCTATCAAGATAGATCACCAGCTCCTCCAATTGACCCAGCTGAATGGTCAGCATTCCTGTCCGACTCAGAAAGGACTGATCTGGTAAAAAGAGGGCCAGTGCCAATAAGTGACACCTTCACCTTCCCCAAAAAATCAGATGGACGAAGCTTTCACTACCACTATACATACAGACAATTAGTTAATGGAGAAAAAATCAAGCGAAGCTGGCTAATTTATTCAAAGAAAAATGATGCAGTTTACTGCTTCTGTTGCAAATTATTCTCGAGAAAGTCCACAAAACTGTCAACAGAGGGACAGCGTGATTGGGTAAATGTAGGTGCTTTGCTGAAACAACATGAGAATAGTCAAGATCATTGCAATAATATGGTAAAGTGGAAAGACTTTGCCACCCGTCTTTCTAAGCAGAAGACTATTGATGCAACAGAAATGGCCCTTTTGGAGGCAGAAAAAAATCGTTGGAGAGATGTTCTCATCCGTTTGATTAGTATCATTCAGTCTTTGGCAGAGAGGAATCTTGCGCTCAGAGGGTCTGTTGATACTTTGCACAAGGTTAACAATGGTAACTTCCTTAAAGAGGTGGAACTGATGGCAAAATTTGACCCAGTGTTAAAAGACCACATCAGACGAATTGATAGTGGAATGCAGCACAACACGTACCTGGGTAAGACTATCCAGAATGAGCTGATAGAGTGTGTCAGTGACAAAATAATGGAGGTAATGGTGGCAGAAATCAAGGACAGCAAATATTATTCAATTATTTTAGACTGTACACCAGATGTTAGTCACCATGAACAAATGTCTGTTGTGGTGCGCACAGTCACTCTGGGCAAAACACCAGAAATAAAAGAGCACTTTTTAGGATTTCTGATAGCACCAGAATCCACTGGCCTGGGTTTGTCCACTCAAATCCTTAACAGGCTTGATGAATTGAACATCCCTTTTCAGGATTGTCGGGGTCAGTCCTATGACAATGGGGCTAATATGAAGGGGAAAAACAAAGGAGTGCAGGCTAGGCTATTAGTTAAAAATCCAAGAGCTTTTTATGTGCCTTGCAGTGCTCATACCCTAAATCTGACAGTCTCAGATGCGGCTAAAGCATCAAAGGATGCTTCTTGTTTTTTTGGAAATGTGGAGAAGGTGTACAATTTGTTCGCTGGGTCCACTCAGAGGTGGGCCATCTTGCGGAAGTTTGTTGACCTTACCCTCAAGTCCTGGAGTGAGACGCGCTGGGAAAGCCGGATTAAAAGCATTGAAGCTTTGCGCTACCAGGCAGAGAAGGTGAGGGAAGCCCTACTAGAAGTTAGAAATAAAGCGACTGACCCTGTAGTGGCTGTTGAAGACAACTCTCTTGCAGAAGAAATAGGTTCTTTTAGATTTCAGATTTGTTGTGTGGTCTGGTTTGACATTTTGTCTAAAATTAGCATCACTAGCAAGCTTCTACAGTCAACCAACATGCAGCTTGATGTTGCTGTTAACCTTGTACAAAAGAACAAAGTTGAACTCATCAGTTACCGAAAAACAGGTTTCTCTGATGCACAGACATCTGCAAAAGAAATTTGTGAGCAGATGAACACAGAAGCAGTGCTGAAAGAGAAGCGTTTGCGTTCTACAAAAAGGCACTTTGCCTATGAGGCTGCAGATGAGCCGATAGTGGATGCTATGAAGAGACTAGAAGTGTCCTTTTTTAATACTGTAGTGGACTGTAGCATTCAGTCGTTGGAGGATAGATTTCAGTCTCTAAGTGAGGTTAAAGAAAACTTTGGAGTGCTGCTCAATTTTAGGGAACTAGATCGAAAGGTCCTGAGGGAAAAATGTGAGCTTCTCGGACAAAAACTCTCTTGTGGAGAGGAGGCTGATATTGATGGTAGCGCACTAGCTGTAGAGATTGAGAGTCTTCCTGAACTTCCCCAAACTATGACAACTGCCTTTGAGCTTCTCACATACCTCTCACAAAATGAGATGTGTGAGCTTTACCCTAATCTTTGGGTAGCTCTCAGGATAGCCTGCACTCTGCCTGTAACAGTTGCCTCAGCAGAGAGGAGCTTTTCCAAGCTCAAATTGATTAAAACATATCTGAGATCATCAATGGCCCAGGAAAGACTAAGTGGACTTGCTGTTATTAGTATTAATAACAAAGTTGGCCAATGTATAAAGTACAATGATGTCATCAGTGACTTTGCCTCCAGAAAAGCTAGGAAGGAAAGATTTTGAGGAGTCACACTGTATTGAGTAAATTAAAAGTTACTCGGTTTAAAAACAAACGTGAAATACTGATGCACTTTCACTATTTAAGCATCAAAGTTTTTTGTAACATTTTATTTTTGATTTTATTAATGTTTGTCTATTTTGTAATTGAAGATTGCACATTTGCATTTGTAAAAAATAAATAAATAAACAATTTATTTAATGTGATGTGAGTTTGTTTTCAGAAGTTTCAAAGAGTTAGTAAAAGAGTAAAGTAAAAGTTAATTTTATTTAAGTTATTATTTTTTATTAAGTATTCAATTTGTATTAATACATAACTTCACTGTATTAATTTATAATGTAACAGTATAGCATGACATTTGTGTCAATAATAGCAAGACTCCATGTGGTGGGAGGGGCCCCCAAATCAAATTCTGCTTAGGGCCCCCAAAAGGCTCGGGCCGGCACTGCTGATCTTAGATCAGACCAAAGACACACTCCGCCAAAGACTCTGGGGAAAAGAAAGAGTGAGAGCAGAGATGGTAAGATGTCTCTGAAAAGCTTGGCTTTGAAGTGTAATGGGAAGCATTAGTTACTTTCAGGTGTAATAAACTTGAGCCAAATGTATCGACAACAGCAAATGCCTTCTGAAAGGCTTTTAACAATGTCTGCCAAATGTCTTTCTCTCTTCTTCTCTCTTTCTCAGTCTGTTCACCTCTCTTTCTGTTCATCTCTTTGCCCCATCTCTTTATCCCTCATATCTCGTTCATTCTCTCACCAAACATCTCTAGTGGCAACTTGTCCACCCTACACACAGCGAGCGTTATAAATCACTTAAGAAGTCCAACACATATGTATCATTCTTTGTGACTTCTATTGAATTTCAGCTGCGGGGGAGGCGCTCAGATGATAGAGCCAAGAGTGCTCTGCTCAATCTTCATCTACTGAGGGGGGCTCATTTTGTCAAATGCCTCTTTGGTGCCAAAATGAGACCCATGTGCAATGGACATTTCACACGATTCAGTGGCAATCATTTCAAATTGTACATTTGACTGAAATAATCAATGATGCTGTCATGTACCTCCATGACCCTCAATTAAAATACATCGTTTTTTTGGGGCTTTTCTGTCCTCAGAATCTCCAACACAGTATTATGGACTGTTTTTTTTTTTTTTTTTTTTTTTTTTTTATGGTTGTGCCTGCTCTTAAATTAAAGGTACTATGGGTAATTATTCTATATTTAGCCCAATTACGTAATTTTTTATATAGAAAAAAATAACAATATAATCCTCACTTCATTAAATATTAGAATTGAACAATTATCAGATGTGTCAGAATTTTGCATTTGTGCCACATGCTTTTAAGATTTCCATTTAATTTAACTATGACTTATTTTTTGAAGGCCATGACAAAATTACAAATAATAATTTTCAATAATGAAATAAAAACAAAACCAGGCTTGTCTATTACAGATACTGTACTTCGGACAAGGCTTAGCAAAAATAAATAAAATAAAAAATAAGATGAATTAATTTAAAATGAGGAGACACAAACCTGTAATTATGACAGATATGGAATTGCATATCATTTTGATAAGGATAAGTTATAATTTTAACTGGGTTAACACATCATGAATACAAAACTTTAAATCTTTTTAATCAAATATTAAAACTGAAGTATAAATAAATAAATAAATACAAACTTATTTATTTCCATTGAGTTTTTATTTTCTTGTGGAGAAATAGAAGAGAAGAGAAGTTTAGGGTCAACTCTCACTTTTAAGTTGCTTAGCATGCATATTACTAGGATATTGGCTTTTTATTAATACTTATAAAGTACATATTAATACCTTATGCATTAACATAGTCCCTTAATCCTATGCCTTACCAACTATTAAGCAATTAGGAGTTTATTAATGTGTGACTTGAATGTTTGTTCATGTGTTAAAAAAAGTTTCACTATTTAACACATTGTAGTTGATGTCAGCTTTTTATTGTTAAATGTAGTAGGCTAGTTGTATGTAGTTATCAGTTTTTGTGCGTTTAAATAGCAGGTTTAGCTAAGTCGTAAACCACTCAGATGTACCTGTAAAATGTTCAAAAAGAACATAAAGGAAAGAACCGGTCGGCAGGATAGCTTTCACACACGCCGCTGGGTGGCGCTGATTCACTGTGCGCTGTGTTCCTTCTGACATCCCTGGAGAGCACGCAGGGATCGAGTCGGCGCAGCACAGCGATCCAGACCTTTGCCTTCAGCACCGGCAGATCCTGCACAGAGCGTGCACTGTCTCCAGCGCCGACAAACACCGTGACAACAAGCCCAACAGGGTACTACGTAGGGTGATGGCTCCGTTAGAAACATTTCTGTGCTTTTTAAACCAGAAGCGAAAGCTCTGATGTGAAGTTTCACACCTTTCTCCGTTGAGTTGAGATGAAGATCTGAGACGCTGCGAGAGAAGGAACTTTGCGTCTCCGCGCACCCGGACGCCCTGCAGGGACATCGGGCGCTTCTGTGATCAGAGGACTGAACTTCTTTGCTGTATTTGTGGGTTTCGGACTCTCTCTGACATAGTTGTAGATAGGAGGGATCCTTTGTTGCGGATTGTTGAAGCCTCTCCGGTTCGTGGATGGAATAACTCATAATGGACGGGCAATGAGACCCCTCTCTCCTGCTGGGCAATAATCCGGACCACCGCACTAACAGGTATATGCAGCTTTCATTATTCATTTTGGTTTGACAGAAATTGACTCTTAGATTTGCTTAAATGTTTTGTTCCCCCTCAAAACGTAGATGTCCACAAAGAAGAATAAGGTGTTTAGTAGTCCACTGAGTTAAAAATCATTGATCAACTTTGTAAAATAAACAAGTATTGCCTGTTTTAGTGATCCATGACTATTGCTTCAGTGAGTCATGCATTCGGATCGTGACCGGACGCGGGTCACTGAAACTTAATAGGCAGGCTATAGTCTGTGTGTAAACCCGAGAATCACCCTGGGAGCTTTAAAGCTGGACTATTTTGTGTCAAGCGTGGTTTAGAAGTAATACTAGAGTAAAAAAGGGCAATGAGCTTGATGAGTTTGCGTGTGCGCGCGCGCGGGAGAGCGAGGGTGTGTGTGTGTGTTGACGCCGGTGCTTGTCTTCTTACCGCATTAACAGTATATGCCATGTAAAAGTCAGGCTTACCCCTGTAAATCAGCTTACCCTGGTGGTTGGGAACAGAGTAAAAGGTCTCCGGTCCCTGTACAGTGTAGGCTACACGGAGCCTGGCAGGCTGGCACGCGCATAGATGCGCCGTAACGCACACATACGGCCACCAACGCACTCATGTGAGCTATAGCTACTGATGGCAAGTCCTTTTCATTTTGTCCATCCGTTCCTTTCAAATAAACGGTTCAGCTATCATTAACGACAAATAGCCTAGTTGGCTGCTATTAATATTAAAGTGTTATTATCGTAATTTCTTACGAAATGTTCCTATTAATAAAATAGTTTTTTATGTCATTTGTCCCAGTGTTACAGGCCTGATTTACCTGTCTAAAATTATCCTATATTTTGCGTTTTAGTAAATAATACATTAAACCAGTCATTTTGATTTACACTTGCACATTTTTACATTTGTTTATACATTTCTGTGCAAAAGTCTTAGTCACATTTGTATTTTCACCCCCACAAAAATGTTTTTTTTTTTTTTTTAAACCAGTTATTTATATCTTTTGCTGTAGTGTGTTAGTAGGAAATTTCCAAACATTCATTTTGCCATAATATTTCAGTGAGTTTTTTGTATGCAGTCTCTGACAACAGCTGGCGCTCCACATTGAGATCTGATCTCACCATCATCATGTCTGTCTGGGATTACATGAAGAAACAGAAAAACTGAGACAGACTAATTTCAGAAGAACAGCGGCAAAGTATCCAAGATGCTTGAATAAACCTACAAGCTAAAATACTAACGTGCCTATGACTTTTGTACAGTACTGTATATCGTATATTTATAATGTAGTAGGAACTATAATTTGCCCAGTAATTGCGTTGCTTTGACTGATGTGGTTGGCTGATATAACTCCCTTTAGGCCACAGTGTGCATTTATTCTCCTCCTAACAGAGCTGGTTATGTGTTTGCTGTGACTATGAGGGAGGATGTTGTCGGGAGCAAAAGGCTTAGGAACACACAGATGCCCCGCTGATACTGGCTGCTGAAATAATCCTTTGTGAATCACAGCTGAATGTAGAAGTTTATTTGGTTTGGCTCTGTTGTGTGCAGGTCCTGGATCTACTGTTAGTGTGAGAGTGTTTAACCCGAGCACTGGTAGCGGGATAGGCCTCGCTATGCTGATAAACTCATTCTCACTCACAGGATGAATCTGAAAGATGTTGCCAATGGTTGAAAAGGGGCAATGGCGGTGTGTGTCTGTCAAATCCAGTGATCTGCCAGTCCTGAGACCCAGATAAAGTTTAATTAGCCCATAGATTGACAGGAAAGAGAAAGATGTAGACAGAGAGGGGCAGAGAAAGAGCGAGAATGTGCTAATTACATTTGATTTGCACCGTCTGAGGTGGAACAATTGGAGACCTTTAAGTTTTAATGCCCTAAACCTGGTTTGAAATATTTCTTTCCAGTCATAATCATTCTCTTTTTCTTTAGTGTGCTCATCTTTCTTGCCAAGAATTTGTTTGCGATGCTAATGTTTTGTTTACCTGCTGCTAGTTGTTGCTTATTTTTCTCTCATTATCTCATTACCAACTTCATAGACTCGAACTGCACGTGCATTGTGTGTGTTTGTGTTTATTAAGATGTTTGGCTGCATTATTGTGTGTGTTTTCACAGGCTATTAACTGTGACAAATAACTGTTACTTGTTGGAAAGGCTGATGTCTGGGTCACAGTGGGAATCTCGGGTTTCTGCAGCTGGTTTGGGTTTCAGTTCAAATGATTTGAGTGTAGTCATCTGACCAGACCCTGTTCGTTCAGTCCCACTAATTTATCAAGTGTGGTTTGAATAATTCATCAAAGCCTTCACAGAGAACCAATGTGTGTAATTATATGTTTGTGTCATTGCGCGTGTGTGACTATCCAGAATACAGTTGTCTGTCCATTTTTATAGTGCTAAAATTAGTTACATTTACACAGTGGAGGTTCACTGTAAAAAATGATATGGTCAATAAGCTATGACAACATACTGTATGTTTCTACATTGCAAGTTAAGAAATTTTCCATTTTTTTGTTATAAATTATACAAGATTTAACCAACTTTTTTAAAATCAGTTTAATGTAATTTAAGTTGAATTACAAGTTGATTGTTTCTTAAATGATGACAACAGCATTTTTTTTCTTGGTGATTATATTTTTCCTGCAAATTGATTTAAAGTTTTAAATACAGAGTTTTTGCACCTGTTCTCCTCTCATAAGTTAAATTGTTTGATGTGTTTGGAGTGCAATGAAAAATGAAATGAAGAAAATGATTGCTTGATTTTTTTCAGTATGGCATCCGAGTCTGAATAGGAAGTTATATAAAAAGAATGACTATCAACTATTAAATATACATGACAATGGTGTCAAAACATTGGCAGAACAGTCTGTTGTGGATCTGCAGTTACTTGAGAGTGATGACTGTAGGTAGAATTGAGGAAGTGTTCAGTTTATTTGGCAGACCTGGTCTAAAGTTGCAATGAGGTCGATTTTTTTTTATGCATTAGTTTTCAAGTTTTCCGTAAATGCTGAATTTGTAAGTTTATATACATTGATACCTTCATAAAATGGGTCGTAAATGGATTGATTAAACAGAATTAGTTATACAAAATGTGTTGTTTAGAAGGTAATTTGGAAGAAAGAATGGAGAAGTTTGAAACTTCTGAATATTTATGCATGAAGGTTTCATGGCTCTCGTATTGGTGATTGGTTATTTTCCGTAAATTGCTTTGTGTGCAGCTGAGCCGTCTGCCAAAGTGTTGATTAATGAGAGAATAACAAAACACCAGACAGATGAAATCTGCACCTTTCACAAAAACAAACACCCTCTGCGTCAAATCCTACATTGTGATCCTATCAAGTGGAATCACACAGAGATGATCTCCCAATGAGAAAATAAGGGCAGGGATGACCACAGCTTCACTCGTCACCTCAGAGTTCACCAGACCTTGTCTGAGAGACGGAGAGAGATAGAGAGCACTTTATTACTGCAGTCTCGCCCTCCTTTCTTTCATTCGATCATCATTTCTGTCTCACAGGACAAGATTAACATTACTGTCATGACACAGCCTCTGCGGGAATCAAGAGATAGAGAGAAAGAAAGTAATAGAGAGTAAGTGACCCCCAGTGTTTCCTGAGGTGAAGCGCATAAATGGATGACTTGCTCAGTCACAGGGTGAGCTGGGTGGATAGGTTGTGTGTTAGCATGTGTGTGTGTGTTGAAGTGTTTATTTATTGTTACAGTGAGAGACAGTGCAATAACTGCCTAAAGAAAAGAACAGGTAAACAAACAAAATAAAAAAAATACCCAAAGGAGAATGCTACTCTTTTATGCTCGGGAGACTTGATGGAGTTCTCAGTTATGCTTCATTTAAGTTTCAACTTTATCCAAAGTGTTTCTCCTGAAACAAAAACAAAAATAGACGCAGATGTGGAAAACATCTGCAAGAGCATAGAACTTTAAAATGAAAGAGTATAGCATCCCAGAAACATTTGGTCTATGGGAGAATTCAGTGATAAATAATTGTGTTCATACTGAAATATCTGACATTTCATTGCAGACTTTGGTATGTTGTGCACAGTGATGTGAAGTTGTGTGAGTCTTTTTCTCAGGAGAGAAATCAGAAGGAGACGTCAGCAAAGTCTGCATTTGATATCTGAAATTAAAGCTAAAATTGACTAAACTGAATGAGAATCTAACTTAATTTATCAACCTAAAAATCAACATATAAAACATGTTTGTGTATTAACTGGTAATTCTGAGTGGAAATGGACACTACTTACCATTGCTACTTGCTACTTGCTACTTACATACCACAAGCTACTAACAATTACAACAAAATAACTGCAAATAAATGGACAAAGTGAATACTTGGAACCTTATTCAGTGCATGCTGGGAACACAAGCATTTTAAACATAATCACTTAATTTTATACCATTAAAATGTATTCAGATATAAATAAATACTACAAGGCATTTCTAATTTGTGATTGGTACTTGAAATCTTAACAAACTACTTACTAATTACTCCTTATTTATGTACCTTTAAAAACTGTACTTGTGTTTTTGAAAGAGGTCTCTGTTCTCTGTTTGAAAGATGTTCACCAAGGCTGAATTTATTTGATCACCATTATAGTACAGTAATGTTGTGAAATATTATTACAATTTCAAATAACTGTTTACTATTTTAATACATTTTAAAATGTAATTCATTTTTGTTTTGCAAAAGCTGAATTTTCAGCTGTCATTACACCGGTCTTTAGTGTCGCATTATCCTTCAGAAATCATTCTAATAAGCTGATTTTCTGCTCAACAATCATTCATTATTATCATCAATGTTGAAAACCTTTTTGTGAAAATGTGATCAATTTATTTCTGTAACTGAATAGCGCACATATATACCTATTTATATGTATTAAGTTAAAGCTGTAACTTGAACTAAATTATTTAATATAGAAATCCAAAATAAAATTCAATTTATTTAACAAGAACCCCCCCCCCCCCCCATTATAGCCAT